AAAAAAAAAAAATCCTTGCCAGTTAGGAACTTTGGTTGAGAAATTCTTGTGTGAAAACCCTTGTTCTTAGGATTTGTGTCTCAAACCTATAATACTACCTAAGGCACACTGATACCCATTCTCGCTACCTCCACTCCAATATTTCCGTGTAAAGTAAAGACTCAATAATGTCCCATTTCATTCTTCTACACTGTATTGATGTTTTGTTTTTCTTTAAGGGTTGTATAATGTATGTATCCAATATGGGAATTACTTGCGTTATTTATAAGAATTAAATTGGTATGTTACTATGTTATATATGATCATAGAATACCAAAGATATCAAGATATGTTATGTACCTATGGGATCAAGATTGTATTGAGTGATTTCCTTGAAGGATTAGATATTTCTTGCATTCTTTAAGGCCAACTATTAATGAGGCAAATTCAAGAGTTGCAATATATATAAAAGTTAATGGAATACAGAAGGGACTTAGTCATACATAAACATAATTTAATGGTTCTTTTCACTAATTATGAGTACGAGATTAAGGTTTACATTAATTTTAGTAAACCATGCTAATCAAGTCTTAGGTAACATACACCGGTTAAAAATTATATATATAACACATGGTAGGTTTCACTTTGATGCACTAGACATGGTACATGACCTAGAACATTGTTCCTGACCTACCTCGTACTCCGAATTAGTTCACTAGTTAAAGTTTATGGAAATATCGGAGAGAGCAAACTTACTTCAAAGAAATAATTAAAATTGAATTAACTTAAAAAAAAAACTAAACAATGAAGGCTATAGAAACGGTAAAATGACTTCATTTGCTATACTTCAGTCACTCTCTATGGTGTTATTGGGCCCTATACGGAGTTGCGCTCGAACATATCTTAGACTCTTGCTATAAAAATAGATAATATGCATTGCGTAATTAAATAACTAAATATTATTAAATTAGTTATTGAATACTATGTTGGATTTTTCTTCGTCGAGTTATTGAATTTCTTTTTGAAAGGGAATATATCTTCTTGGTGGCGGCTTCAACTTTGGTTGGCCCCTTTTTTCCCGTATATTTTATTGTATAATGTAGAGTCTGTGATAACTAAAAGTTTTGTCATGATGTTGACAAGTTGATCATAAATTCTTTTTCATTTATCGGATTTGATTTTTTATGTTATATAAAAATTGAATTCTCATTTTGTGACTCAATTAGTGGTAGGTTCTACAATTATTAACAAATGAAAAAAAAAAAAAAAACTTTGCACACAAATCAAAGATTCACAATATGAGAATTGAAATTTCATACAATATAAAAAAATGTTTTTCCTTCATTTAATATATAAAATAATTGGTCAATATTTTTTTAACATAAGTTTCTCATGAATCTCTTTGAATAATTAAACAAAAAAGACATGTAGTCATTCACCACTCTCGTTTTGACCAAAACTTTTACGCTCTCACACATTTACAGATGCCGGAGAAGCTTGATTTTTGACGATTTATACTATTAGTTAGACTTCATTGTCAAAAAAAATTTGGGACCGATATTTCGATGAAATTTTCCAAAACTCCCTCATGTTGCTAAAGTAAGTTTTATGTGATTTCCAACAGAATGCAAATCAATAGGATTTGACACATGTTAGTGATGTGAAGGTGATTTTCAATGCTCACATTCGGTATAAGTTATACTTTAATTTTTTAATTATCTGAGTAATTTAATATAAATTAATTAATAATTAAGAATAAATATAAGATTTGTTAAATTTATAACCATGTAATAATAATTTATTCCTATTTATATATATTGTTTTCCTAAAGGTTTTTAGTAACATTTGTCTATAAAATATTTAATATTTTATGCTAGTTTGAAATTCATATCACCAATGAAGATAATCTATGAAGCACCGACACTTCAAAAATCCTGACGTGTCGTGTCCGACACTCTCGGACACTCCGACACTCTCCGACACTCCAACACGCGTTATAGAAATTCAAAAAAAAGTTCAAAGGTTACGTTGCGTTGAGTTTTTAGTTCCAACTATTAGATTCGTTGGATTATTTATTGAGTTTATTGTAAATATTTGGGATATCTTATGTTTCTTTGCAAAATTTATGAATATTATAAATTTAGATTCATTTTTTTGTTAAATTATTGAATATTAAATATAATATATACTACATAAATTAAAAATATTATTTAATATCAAGACATATCCTAACGTGTCAAAATTTAATATTTTTTAGAATTAACGTGTCGAAGTATCATGTCATATCGTGTCACGTATTCTGTGTCAATATCAGACGTATTCTGTGTCAGTATCGGTACTGCATAGGAAATAATGTGTGCCAGTTGTACAAATTTGACTATAGTTGTATAAATTAGACTTTCTGTCTTTTTTTCAAGGCGCCAACGCCCACTGCGTCCTGCCACAGCAAAACTACTTTTCAAAATGTGACACTTGGTCATGTGTAGCATTTCCCCCCTATTATTTTATGTGAGCTCAGTGGGTGGGAGGTTGGCATCATGTAAGGGTTCCAAAACAACAATGTTTGACTGAAAGAAGAGTCTAATTTATAATAGGGAAATATCTTCTCTTGTAATCTTTATTTCGATTTTCGATGTTCTGTCAATTAATTTTTTTTTAAGATGGATTTCATTCCATTTTCTCTCAATAAAAAACTCTAACTTCTCACGTAACATGAAAAGTCACATGTCCTTTATAGTAATTCAAAAATATTATCTTAGAGAGTGTTTGATAGGAGGTGAATTTTTTTTCTAAGAAAATGGGATGAGAAAATTATTTGTCTATGTTTGGTAGAAAATAAAGTAAAAATATGGCTGAAATTTTTTTCGTATCATTTGTTTTTCTATGTAAAATAGTTGGAGAAGATTATCATTAAAGGGGTCGAATTGTTATTTTTTCATATGGTAGGAAAATTTACACACAATATCAGTAAAATTAACTCAACATTCCCGAAAAAAATTTGGCCCTGCCAAACACCTTTTAGTAACTTATCTAGGAAAAAAAAATTCCTCATCATATTTGTTGAGATATATAGACTATAGTCCCACATTGGTTGTGTGGTCAACTAAAGTAGCCTTTATAAGGCCTTGGACACTCTCATCCTATGAGCTAGCTTTTGGGGTATTGTATCCTAAAGTTCTTTACATAGTATTAGAGTCTCACCGTCCACCACTTTAAAGTGGAATTAAAATAAAAAGCACAAAAAGGTAAACCAAAAATTGGGCCTGTGCAATTTTCACGCTTCTAGCCTAAAGGGCTCTTGCGTGAGGGGGCGTGTTGAGATATATAGTCCCACATTGGTTGTGTAGTCAACTAAAGTGGCCTTTATAAGGCCTTGGACACTCTCACCCTTTGAGCTAGCTTTTGGGGTGGTGTATCCCAAGGTTCTTTACAATATTCTCAAAAATTATTTTTTTTGATAAAAAAAATTTCTCCTCTCCCAAATACACCTACAAATAATAGCGAAAGCAACCAACCAATATATCAATAGTTTCTTTTTTCTGATGTGATATAAGATTTTTTTCTCATACTATAGATAACATATAACAATATCATACAATGTCAAATCTTGACTTTTTTTTTATTTTTAAATAAAAAACTAGTGGATTTTATTTTCTGTGTCTATTAAATCAAAAAAAAAAATCTGGAGTCACTACATAAAAAACAAACCCTTTGTGTGTATGTATATATAAAATATTTTTATAGCCATATAAGATAAAGTTATTTACAACTATCTTTTATAATTATGTACTACCGATAGTATTATAATTATAATTATATACTATTGGTAGTACATAGTTATAAAGAGTAGTTGTAAATAACTTTATCTAAAGTGTATATATATATATATATATATATATATATGGCTTTAATATTTTTACCGTAAATGTAGTTAAATTATTACATTCGTTCAAAAAACGATGTTATTTTGGGTTGAAAAATTTAAAAATAATAATGAAAAAGACTATTATAATCCTGAAATAAAATATAATTACAAAAATACATTGATTTTCACCTCAAAACGAAATTATTTTGGGCTCAATGTAGATAACTTATCTACATTGACGATAGAAAAAGTGAACTATATATATATATATACATGTGATATTCTTACTACCAAAAAAAACTTACAACCAACCCAGTACCTATCTAATTACCCATGTATCAATATTTTCTCTCTCTTTATAAACTTTTCAGCATTCTTTATATATAATCCAATGGTGATTATATAAGTAGTAGATTGATAGTGAATTTTTTTGGTAATAAAAATATCCCAGAAATATATATATATATATATATATATATATATATATATATATATATATATATATGGCATGTTATCTTTTCTTTTTTTCTTTTTTTTTTTTGTAAATAAAGAGGGGCTAAGCCCCAGAAACAGAAAGAAATTACAAATCAGAAACTAACAAGCTAGACATATTTCTAGCATCAGCAACTATAAGTTCCATCAACTGAGGAGGAGAATCTTTAAAAATCTTGAAATAGAGATTATTAGTCTGCCCAGCTTTAGCTAACCAATGAGCACATTTGTTGTTTTCTCTCTTGGTATGAACAAGATGAATAGAAATATATGGCATGTTATCTTTACACCAGTATAAGACTAACCGTTGATGGACAGAAATCATCGATTCGTATTTGTAATGTAATTAATGATTAATTAATTTGTATGACTTCTTAAATTATAACCGTTGGATGCACAAAATCAACGGTTGAGATATGGTGTAAGACTTATTAGTCTTGCATCGGTGTAAAATGATCCTGATTATATATATATATATATATATATATATGGTAAAACCTGCAACTGCTTTGCATACAATAATGACACATATATATAGTTATGATTTTTCACATTTAATACTTTCGTCTTTTTGTATGGTTACAATTTCCGTGCTTTTTTGAAGTGTATATATATATATATATAAAAGCATACCAAACTTAGTAGAAGTTCAAGACAGGAACACTAGCACAGGAAGAGTGTCCAAATGGCAGAGGAGAAAGGTAGAGTTTGTGTAACTGGAGGTACAGGATTTCTTGGTTCATGGATAATCAAGAGACTCCTTGAGGATGGATACGCTGTTAATACCACTATTAGATCTGATCCAGGTAACTAAGTATTTTTATTATAAACTTTTTACAAATTTGTATATCTATGACTGTACCAATGTTTAACAAGCTTATTCTTGTGCTCTGCATATTTTGACTTTATCAGAACGTAAGAGAGATGTTAGCTTCCTCACAAATCTACCAGGTGCCTCTCAAAAGCTTCAAATATTCAACGCTGATCTCAGCAACCCAGAAAGTTTCAGTTCAGCAATTGAAGGGTGTGTTGGGATATTCCATACTGCTTCTCCAATTGATTTTGCAGTTAGTGAACCTGAGGAAATAGTGACCAAAAGAACCATTGATGGGGCATTAGGCATTTTAAAAGCATGCCTAAATTCAAAGACAGTTAAGAGAGTTGTTTACACTTCTAGTGCCTCTGCTGTTTGCTGGAATGGCAAAGAAGAAGAAGTATTGGATGAGAGTAGTTGGAGTGATGTAGATATGCTTAGAAGTGTGAAACCATTTGGTTGGTCATATGCAGTTTCCAAGACCTTGGCAGAGAAAGCTGTTCTTGAATTTGGAGAAAAACATGGGTTGGATGTTGTGACTCTAATACCCCCTTTTGTTGTTGGACCCTTCATTTGCCCTAAGCTTCCTGACTCAGTTGAGAAAGCATTGGTTTTGGTATTAGGTAAAAATGCTGCAGCTTATTCTACTTCTTAAATTGAGTTTGATTTGAATCATTCCCTTATACTTTATAATCTGGTAAACTTATTGTTGCTTGTTAGTTATATTTAATAAGTTTATGAACATTTATGATAAAAACAAACAACTATGTATTTAATAATTCATTTTGGGGTACAGTATCCTTGTAGGTGCCATAGCTAGTTCTATATTGTAATTGCGAGATCATGTCATTTTTTGCTAGTCCATTTCAATATAGTCAGTCACCAACATTGTTTTTCAACATTTCAACCGTATTTTGAAGATTAAAACCACAAAAATGTAACCATTGAATTGAAATATTTTGCTCACTAGATCAGTATAGCAGTTTTGCACTTCAAAGTCAGCTTTTATGGACTAGTAATTAATGTATGTCTTCTCATTATATGGACTCTACTGAATGTGGACTACATACCAAACAGCAACATATTCAGATTTATCAATAGTTCAAGTTCCTTTTTAAGTTCTTAGAAAATGAAATTGATGCTGCAGGCAAAAAGGATCAAATTGGTGTCACCCGTTTCCATATGGTACATGGGGATGATGTGGCTAGAGCACATATATTCCTACTTGAGCATCCTAATCCCAAAGGGAGATATAATTGTTCACCATTCATTGTACCTATTGAAGAGATATCTGAACTTCTTTCAGCCAAATACCCAGAATTTCAGATACCAACAGCAGAGTGAGTGCCATTGTCCTTCTACATGTCAAATGCAATATATATATATATATATATATATATATATATATATATATATATATATGATCTTTCTTTGATCTCATTTTATAACTAATATTTGATTTGTTTACTTCTTCTAGTGAGCTGAAGGAAATTAAAGGTGTCAAGTTACCACATTTAAACTCGAAGAAACTGGTGGATGCTGGATTTGAGTTCAAGTATAGCATTGAGGAAATGTTCGACGATGCAATTCAATCCTGCAAGGAAAAGGGTTATCTTTAATCTATCTATGTCATGAAGTTATCAAAACAATAATTTGCCAAAGATGATTGATAGTTTGAACTATTTCATATCGCTAGCAATGGTGGCTCATGACATGTACGCCAGTGTATGTATTAAATTATTCGTAATAAATCAATCATAGAAATATGTTTTTTTTTTCGTTTTCCTGAATACCAAGCCATTTAATATTCAGGATATTTATGAAAATCAAAACAAAGTTGATTTTGCAAATGCCACGTAGATCAGGGGTGGAGTCAGTGAGAAATAATTCTATGGTTCAGGTCCATAGAATTATTAGATGCTCCCACTCATATAGAAAGGGATAAAAAAGGAAAATCAAAATTAGAACAAGGGTAAAATAGAAAAAAAAAAGTTTGATTGTGAGAGGGAACACAAAAAACAACGATGGGACAGAGTCACGGGGTGCTAAGGTGGGCCACCCCTCCCCTTCTAAGATTTGTGCATCAAATAATATGCAGGCAGTGCTTAGAGAGTTAACCGGGTCACTGAGTTGGCCGGATCTCGGCCGGGTCAATTGATCTAAACCGGATTGATTGCAGAATTGATTCAAATGATTGCTCAGATCAGAAATTGCACTGAGTCATCGAAACCAGGATCAATCCCGTCGGTCCGAGCCGATTTTTAAAACACTGATTAATAGGTTTCTAAAATATTCCGATTTACTTCGCATCTTTCTGTGTATTTAATTTGACATGCCTTCTTCTGTAGATTGATCCAATAGCAGAATCATCAAATTTACTTTTGCAATAAAGACCTAAATCAAATTACTTTGGCATACCTTTTTTTTATATTTGATTTTTCTTCATTCATAAAAAAAAAAAAAAATCATGGCTCCGCTGCACTGGTATAAATGCAGAAGTTTATATGCCTTCAGTGACAACGCGAAATTATCAATTTAAGAAAATAACGTACAATTTGTATTAAATTAGTTTGAATCCTTTGCTGCCATATGCCAAATTAATAAATCAAAACTCTGGCGATATCCTCCGGACGACTCCTTTTTGTTGTGTTTTTTATTTTTGTCTTTGACTAAAGCATTTTATATAGGCATATTTTGACAATTGACGGTGATAACAATTAAAAAATCTTCTTAATAAAGTTTCAACACGGTAATAAATGAAATTTAATCTAAAACCATAAAGATTAAAGTTTAAATTAAAAAAGGCAAATATTTTATTACAAAAAAAAAAAAAGGCAAATATTTTAAAAGGACAAACGTACTAAAAGACATTTAATTTCAAGAACTATATTATGGGTTTAAATTATGAGTTTTATTAATCTCATGTTAAAGGAGATAGTTATCTCATGTCATAGAGATAAATTTGTGGGCTCTACCACTTGAAAAGAAAAAGAAAAAGGTGGCACAGTTATCGAAGGGTGTGTAAGAGAGAAAACTTGTCTCATGTAACATGAGAATAGTTTTTCCCTTAAATTATCTCATCTGATCTCAAAATAACGTTCTTAGTAAGGGTTTAATTTCAAGAACTTCAATACTATCGAAGTATAGATGAAATTTTTCTTTATGTGATAGAGGAAATACTTAACCCTCAATTTAAATAAATAAAAACTTTTAAGGATTGAAATAATAAAAATAATAATTTTTTTGATAAATTAACCATAATTATTTTTCGAGACAAGTCGACTCCATAAATTTCAATGTTTGAGCCGGCTATGAGTTAATAACATATTTTATTCGGTAATGGTTTATAAATGTGTTAAAAAATACGGAAGATAACGTATAAATTTTAATTTTATGTTCATTACAATATTTAATTTTGCTAAAAGAAAAGTGAAATTAGAAAGAAAAAACAAAGCAAAAGCAAAAACTCAACAAAACCAGGCCATTTAGTCTATTAAAATAGGGCCTTTTGAGACTATTCGGCCCATGGAGTCAGTAACCTTCACCTTTCTTCTACTGGTTGGCTGTTGAAATTCCCTTTATTATATGGTTTCGTATTCTAAAACCAGTTTTGCCAACACCCAAGGGTAGCTCAGTTGGCAGCTGAGCTTCCAAAGGATTGCTTGGTGCAGAGATCAAATCATGCCTCAAGTAATTTCTTGGAAAATTTTTGGGGCCAGAGGATAAGCCAAAAAATCTTCGGTTGAGGGATTAGTCTCGTCCTTTCTCCGGTTGCGAAGCTTAGTGCACCCACCCTTACAATGAAGGGCTAGCCCAAACGGGCCGTACCCCGAGGGCATGGTGCCCGGAGAAGGTTGGATGGGGATACCTCCTGGCAATGTACCAAAAAAAAAAAAAAAACCAGTTTTGCCATTTTCATCACATTCTAATGAAGCTCAACCCCAAAACTCTGCACAATAACTCTCATAAATTCCATTTTTAATATTATAACTATGTATTTTTTGAAGCACATAGTTATAATGTGATAAATGGACAAAATATTATATCTGGTATATATATATATATATATATATATATATATATATATATATATATATATGGGGCAGGGTTCTTTGACACCGGTGTCAAATTTAAAGTTTGACACCTCATCTGAGAGCCGTTAGATCAAAAAATATCAACGACTTTGATTTGTAAGCATGTGGCACCATTGATCTTTTTTGATCTAACGACTCACAGGTGAGGTGTCAAACTTTAGATTTGACACTGGTGCCAAAGGATCTTATCCATATATATATATATATATATATATATATATATATAGAGAGAGAGTTTTATGTCTCTCCTTTCATAGGAGAGACTGTTCATTTTCTGGTTAATAGAAAAAACAGTGGGTCCGTTATTTGTAAAAAAGAAAAAAAAAATTCGTATATATATATAGAGTTTTATGTCTCTCCTTTCATAGGAGAGACTGTTCATTTTTCTGTTAATAGAAAAAACAGTGGGCCCATTATTTGTAAAAAAGAAAAAAAAAGCAAACACAAAATTCAAAGTGTCAATGGGAGAGTTAAAAAATTTCTGTAGCAGAAAAGAATTTAAACCCATATATATATATATATATAAATATATATATATATATATATATTGTTGTTGTGTGTATAATTTAATGGCAATTCATTTTTGGGAAAAATGTTTGTTCTTTTCAAGGATGATCATTTTAGTTAAAATTAGTATTTTTTTATTTAAAATTTAAATTAAAAAAATCTAACTTTCACCCTCTCCTTCTCTCACTTAAAATACCACATATTTATATGTCATTTAAAAGGACAAACACCAATCTCTTTATTTTTATTTTATTTTTTCATTCCCCTTTATTCATATTTTACTTTTTGGTTTTAATGTTTCTAAAGTGAATGTAGATAAGTTATCTACATTTGCTTCCAAAATGACGTCGTTTTGGGTTAAAAAATTATAATGAAAAAGACTATTATACCCCTGAAATAAAATATAATTATAAAAATACCTTGATTTCTATCTCAAAACGACGTCGTTTTGAGCTCAACGTAGATAACTTATCTACATTGATGGTAGAAAAAACGAACCTTTACTTTTTTTTTTTCAATAAGGTGTTCGGTAACGTGAGCCCAAAAGTTCGAGGCCCAATCTCTATCTTCTTCTCTTTGTATAAAGGTGAACTCTCTATCTCTCTTTGCCGCAAAGGTTACAAACCCTAAAAGAACATTCTTCTTCTCCCGCTTTTTGAGTTGCTCCTTCAAATTTGTTGTCGACAAGGAGCATTACGCATGAAGTTCAAGAGGTGTTATCGCACAACACCTTAGGTATCTATCATTCTCTCTCATTCTGCTACAACTTTCTAGTATCGTCCTTGTATCTCTCGCACTAAAATTTTATTTTTGATGTTGATTTTCTTTCAATGGTAAATGATAATTGATGCTGATATATTTGTTGAAGAGTTTAGAATTATGGGCTTATTACATTATTGTAACATATCATTCGCGTATTTTACTATTAAGAAGTTGATTGTTGTAGCCCTAAATTTGGTAAACAAATCAGTGTCTCAACGATTTTGAAGAACTCAAAATATACCAAATTGTAAAATAAGTGTTTCATGTTATTATTTTCTTTGGTATCTTTACATTCCTTGTTCAAGTTTTGTCTATAATTTTTAATATTTTTATTTCTTGATTGTATATTACAGGATTTGTGTGTTTGTGAAAAGAATTAAGGTTTAAGGTGGATTTTATCATCATTGAAATACTAAAAAAAAGATCCATTTATTATATCACGAACTCTCACAAAAGTGATAATTAATCCAAACATACAAGAAGCTATTATTTTTAGGGAATATGCTTGTGTGCAATATGAGTTTTCAAATATATTGCAAAATATAATGTAGTTTTTGCTTGAGATTTATTTTGTTTATAACCACGTAAAAATTTTATTGTTGTCTAGAATAAATCTTATTTACTTTTGGATGAGATACTATCCAACTATTTGCATTGGGTGAAGTGGTTGGAATTGTAAACAAGGCCTTTTGATTGATATTATTGCATATTTGCCTTCGTTCAACCACATTCAACAATGATTAATATGTACAAATTCTATAACTTATAGCCTTATTTGTTGATCATGATAAATCTTAGTGCTTGATTTTCATGGCCTTGTTTCAGGTGTTTCATTATTGTTCAAACTATGGGGATGATGAGTCATTGGTAGTTTTTTCTCGCAAACATTTGTACCATCCTGAGTGCATCAATATTTAACGAAGCAATTATAGTTGTCTTGAAGCCTGGACCAGCACTCCATTATATATGGGTGTTGCTTTGCCATTTGATCTTGAATATTCTTTGTTTTCAAGATTGTTTGATTCTAAAGTTGGCATTGTGCTAATATTTTTTTTCCTCAGAGACAAGTTGGGGGACAAGTCTGAGCCTCCAATTAACTAAGAGGTTGCTGAGTCTAAATGATGTAGAAAGTTAATTCACACAAAGGGTGCAGTACATCATATCTCTTGCTAGTGACACTTGATCAAATTCTTAGCTGATCCGTAAGAGAATACAGAGAATCGTGAAGTGGCAATAAGACTCTTACGTTCTTGTCGTTTCTACCAAAGTCGTTTCTACCAAAGTCACAGGGATATTTGGACAAGACGCAAGAATTATTGTCTATATTCAACATGGTACCTGAAGATATAACAAA